GAAACCAAACCAGGAGTTTAGGCTGATAAAAGTCCGGCAGCACAGCAGGACTAAAGGCGGGCTCCCTGCCTCTGTGCTGCTCCTGGAAGCAGCCAGCATGTGGAGGGTGGGGGGCAGAGGATCTCTACGCACTGCCCCTAGCGCCAACTCCGCTGGCCGAGAACTGCAGCCAATCGGAGCTGCAGGGGCGGCCCCGGGGCTGCACCCGCAGGAAGCCTGCCTTAGCCCTGCTGCTCTGTCGACCAGGAGCTGCCCAAAATAAGTGCCACCCAGTCGGAGCCTGCACCACACACCCCGTCCCACACCCCCAACCCCCTGCCCTGAGTCCCCTCCCAGAGCCAGCACCTCATACCCCCTTCCTCACCCCAAATCCCTACCCCAGCCCCTTCCTGCACCCAAACTCCCTCCCAGAACCTGCACCCCACATCCCCTCCTGCACCCCAACCCGGTGAAAGTGAGTGAGGGCGGGGTCTCAGAGAATGGGCGGGACCGCAGGGAAGGGGCAGGCAAAGGGGCAAGGCTGGTTGGGTTTGTGCGATTAGATGGTTTATAGGTTGGTTCAAGGGCTCTCAGCACCCCTGGGGGCCCCCGTGACAGCCGCGGGCAGTGGTACAGCATCGGCTGGGGGGTGGGCCGAGTGACCCGTTCAGTGCCCCAGCTTCGCCCCTCGGGGCTCCCCGCCCCCAGCGCTAAGGGACGGGGCGCAGTACCCGGTTCTTCTCCTCCACCTCCTGGACGCACTTGGCTCGCCACCGGTCGATCCTGGCCTCCCTTTCCGCCGCCCGGGCCGCCTCCTCCTCCCGGGCCGCCTCGGCCTCCTGCTTCCTCTTGCGGAGGCGCAGCCGCCGCTTCCTCGCCTTCTCCGCCTTGCGCCGCAGCTCGCCCAGGGAGCCGGGCTCCCGCAGGGGCCGCAGCCGCTCCCGCAGCTCGCTCAGCAGGGCGCGGGCCTGGCCGTGGGCCCGGCCCCAGCCCGCCTCGTCCCCGGCGGCCTCCTGCTGCCGCAGGGCGCGGCACAGGCCCGCGAGCTGGGCCACCGGCCGCAGCGCCCCCGCCGCCAGCTGCCGGCCTGGCTGAGGCTCGGGGCGCCCGGCGGCGGCGGGGGGAAGCCGCGGGGCCGGGGCCGCCGCTGGGCCAGGAACTGGGCCAACCAGAGCTCATCGCGCTGCCTCAGGGCGGCCTCCTCCTCCCCCTCGGCCGCCTCCCGCGGCTCGGCGCTGCCCTCGCCCCACGGCGGCGGCGGGCCCGGCTGCCAGGGCGGCGGGCCCGGGGCCGGGAACAGGAGTCGCGGGGCCGCCGGGCCGCAGGCTCCCCCGGGGGCGGGGAAGTAGGGGCCGCCCGCGGGGAGGTGGC